GCTTGTATGGTGACGTCATGCATAATTTCAGCTGTATTTCCAAATTCTTGCTCTGCCACTGAGTGTGCCCTATTATTATCTCAAAAACTGCAGACATCTGTGTCATTTGGCGTCTTTATATCAAAGATCTTATAAACACGAGATAGCGTTCTCCGCGATTTACGCGTAACAAATAGAAGCGTCGGTCAAGGTTCAAAAGTTTCCAATTTAGCAAGAGGGCGCCATTCATGCGCTATTATATACTAAAGAGAAAAAGTAATCAGTTTTGGAAGAGGGCGTCCTATCTGTTGCCATGGATCTGAGATGGTTCCTGTTCTGCTGTTCAGGATTGATACCGCGGTGTTCGGTATGATCAAAGCGGTCAAGGGTCAAAAGTTTCCAATTTAGCAAGAGGGCGCCATTCATGCCTTATTACAGAATTTGCACGCGTAAATCGCAGAGAACGCTATCTTGTGTTTATAAGATCTTTGCTTTATATGCCTACTGCCCGCATTTTATATTTTTAGGTCTCCCATTAATGACAATCCGTTGATATAATTTTTTCACTCTGATACACAGGCCAATAGAGGCAAATAAATTTCTGATAACAAGTTTGAAAAACACTTATTTTTTTTTAATTCCTTTATATATATGTGCTTACAAATTGTCATCATAACTTATCTAAACTACATACTTTTTAAAGCTTTACAGACCTATTGATTCATACGGCTACAAATTTTGTTTCTCTTCGTATTCGTACATCCCTGTTGAAGATTCATGTGAAAAACAGCGAAGTGTATGGAAAAAGAATTGCTCTGGATCCTATAGCTTTCGAAAACGTCAATGCATTAATTCTACAACCAGTGATGTCTTCTTCACATCGCCACCAAAAATTAATCTTAAGTTGGTAAAAAAATTCGCATTTGGCAATGTTTTGGAAGGACCACAGTATTTAAAAGTCGTAGAGGAAATAAGTGTTCAAAAAGGCGATCTCATTTGTTATAAATATATAATAGGTAGAGGAGTAATAGAAGAAGAAATGACATCAAAGTTCACGGAATACATGGCGAATGACGCAGACTTTAACTTTATCGATGCAAGCAACCTTGTACCAAGCAATAAACCCAATCACGTATTTAGGGCTATTGTCAACAGGCGATCACGAGCACTTATATCACACGTATGCGATGTGGATATAAATGATTATGACTCCCTGTGCTCGTTTAATGTATTGATTGGAGGGATGAATAAAAATGTCTCTATTATCCGAGTCATCGACCCTCCGATTCATGACGTACATATATCCAGTATTAAAAACGGTAACTGCGTTTGCTTATTTTATTGCTTAATTTGAGTACATAATGTCCTGAAGGCTAAAGGTGTGAGAAAACCTCAATAACTAGGTTAATGGCGTTTTTGCCACTCTTTTATTTAAAGGTTTTAATCCATTATGCCCTAATATTGGAGAGCATCTTATCAGCTAATACAGCTAATTAACAAATGAGCTTGGAATGGAGCAGCGATAAGGTGAACGTGCTTGACTGCCTTCAAATCTCTGAGTCATGGGTTCACTTCCTGTCAAACTCCACTCTCTAGAGCCCAAGGCTATGGAATTGTATAGACATGCCTAAATATGGTCATGATGACATCACATCGTGGCCATGTATAGGCACATCTTGACTATATATGGGCATACAACAGTTTTTTGTTTAAGAAAATTTGATAATCTGAAGAAAAAACATAAGCCTCAATTACAGACTCACAGTTTTTTTTATAATGCACCATTCCATTTGTAATTGATGGGAGGACTTGATGTTGGATTTGTAAATAACCTCGTATTGTATTGTAAGAGAATAACAAAAACCTCTATTGTTAATTTAAAGGTATTGCTACAAACACTTATTTTGTTTTCTAATGTTGTGGGAAATAAAAATGTTATTATATGTTGAGAACAAAATCGTCCGATCTAAACTAAGATTTCTATTTTTTTTTAAATAGTTAATAACTTGAATATTAATCAAATGTTGCTCTGCAAATTTGTCCTTTTCTGAATATAATGATAATGAATACCGGTAAACATAAAAATTTTGATTTTATAGCAATAATTGGTGAAATTGTCAACTTAACTGTTGAGAATCAACCTGGAATGTACTTCTTAAATTACGAATGGAATCTTGACAACGGTGATACAATACAAACGAAAATGAGTGGCATAACGTATTCATGGTCTTATAACGGACTGTACAACGTTAGTCTGCTAACATATAATAATGACAGTCAACGGAGAGACAATGTAAGTCTGAAATAAAAATATTTTATGATCATAATTTTGCTTAAAACATCTTATCTCAGGACCAATGACGAATTGTGACAGATTTATTTTTTTGCCATTACTTACATGTTATTTTTATGATGGGCTTATGAGCCTTGATGTTGTGCTCTGAAAACTCATAATATCTCAAGGATACAACATTTAATGAGTTCTTGCGCCAACTGAATAATATTTTATTGTACGAAATTTGTTTTCCTTACAATTCCATTACCTTGTTCTGACTTCATTATTCTTTAAAAATGTTAATGCTAACTCTTTGAATGTTTCTCACTACAAAGGTATTGATAAGAATTGTGGAAAAAATTGAAAATTTGAGTTTAATTGAAGAAGCTTCAACATGGAATATCGTGGAAGATGGAAAGTTAGTTGTTGATATTAACCACGCCGCGCTCGTTCAGTGGTCCTCAGACGGTAGGCTTCAAACATTTTGTTCAACATAATATCATCTAAATTTGATTACATCTTATTTGCTTGATAGTATATGTTGCTTTATAAATTAACTTATCCACATTGCCCCCTTGGATTATGGCTACAAAAGTATGTTGTTTTGTAAGTGTCAGTATAAGAGCGTTACATACTTCCCATCATCTGCAGGGGCTCATAGCACAAGCTGTTGATTAGAATGTGAGTCTTTCGGACCAACATTGAATAAACAATAGAGTGTACAATGATTCCTCTTTTTGATTACATACGTAAAATCAAAGTTAAAATTTTAAAATTCATGCTTTCAACCATAGACCAAATAACGTGTCACCTAAAGGCCAACTCAGACAGCGTCGTACGACGCAGCCCGACGCGATTTGTTGTCGCGTCGGGTCTGTG